TTTCTTTCTATTAAGCCTTTTTCTGAAAGCAATTCTTGCAATAGTCTTTAATAAATAATTTACTTTTAACTTTCATCAATAATAAATTATATATTTTAAATGTTATTTGAGTATATTTTGTAAGATACAAGTTATAATCACTTATAAGCACTTCAAGCATGCTCTAATTTTCCTTTAAGAAATCCTAATTTCACATGCAATAAATAATTTTCAAAATCTGCTGTTCAAAATTGGCTATCCAACTTGCTCTATATCCAATGATTTATTGACACATCATTTTAAATTAATATGTCTAATTTTTCTCTCACTACCACTTGTGCTTAAAAAATGTGTCAATAAATCATTGATAGACAGCAAATTGAACAGTCAATTTTGAACATCAAATTTCAACTACATGCTAAAAGAATCTCGAATATTCAGTTCATGAATGTCCACCTGCAATGCCACGTGCTGAATGGATTAAGAACAAGATTCTAAAATACGTAATGCATGGTAATGTATTTCGATTGAGCATCAAGTATTGCAAGCATATACATAACTATGCGTTTTCCCAATTTTTGATATTATTTTAACTATTCTTAATAAATAAATTAATTAATGCATTATTTAAACTTTATATATTTTTTTCAAATTAAAAAAAACATATATATTGCTTAAATTCATAAACACTACAATTAATTGAATTTTATACATATTATTCATATTTTCAACAAAAATATACTGCTTAAAATAAAAAATAAAATTACAATTACATGGTAATCAATTCCTACAATTAGATTAGTCACGAACATCGGCTTAAAAAATCATAAATCTTGTCTAGCTCTTTATCTGATTCCAATTCAATCCCCTCTAATTCATCCAAGCATATTTCGGGTCATCTGATGCAAAATAATCTTCATCAAATTTCTTTATTTCAATTCGAGAATTCCCTTTACCTCTTGTAGATGGTAAGATACCATTGTTAGCCTCCTCCTCATCATCATAACTATCAACAATCCAAAAGTGTGCGTTACTAGCATCACTTGTTAGTAAAACTAGAGGAATGCGGAAAATGATGCTCGGGCTCGACTTAAATAGTTTGAAATTCTAAGAAACAATTGTTTTGATTTTTCTAAATGTCGAAACCCTACAAATTACTATATAATTCATGGACTTCAGTGATTTAGGTTAATTTGATGTTTGTTGGGGTCAATTTACTTTTTTGAAATTATAAAAATGAACTGGACTTTGTTAGTCTATTTTGACACAATTTCTAACACAAATGCATGCGTATTTTGATGTTTAAACATGTATATACGGTCAATAAAATGAGTTGACCGCATATGTGAGGTGTTTCAAAAACGTATCAAACATATGCGTGCATTTTATAACACTGATTAAGAAACATGCCGCCCAACATGTCCCTCGCTGCCTCACATGCGAGGTATTTAGCACTAACCTCTAGATTTACATCTAGCTCAGATAGTATAGAGAACCATGCATTCACTTTGAATAGTAAAGAGACCTAAATTTTTCTTATTTCTATAGTTGGGTTCAAATTTTCAGTATAAAATAGTTTTACATTAATCCTTGTTTGGTATAATTTTTTTGAAAATATATTTTGTTAGAAGTGAATCCCCAAGGCATTCCTAATTATTTAATTAATTTATAAAAACATTTAAAATAAATCCGTCGAACTCTTAGTATAATTTGAGGGCGTGATAGTTGTGTCTTTTTTTTTTTTACTTTTATAAATTTATTCAAAAAATTTTACAGCCAATTTAAAAATCACAAAACAATTACGGTAGATTGAAAAATATTCTCTCTGTATGAACTATGGTGCATCTAACGTAGCTTATCACGCCACCTGAATCCAATTGCTGGATTCATGGCCAGTTTGAGCCAATTGAAAATGTTTATTGTGAGCAATAAAAAATGTTTTTCGGAGTTCAGTTTCCAAAATTCGATCACCTCAAAATTCAGTGGCCAAAATTTCTACTACAATAAAGTTCAGTGAGCAATAAAAGACTTTTTCAAAATTGAGTGAGCAATCGAAAACGTTTTTCAAAATTTAGTAGTCAAAATTCGACCATATCAAAGTTTAATGTGTGACGGGGTGCCACGTGTGTATTCCGTTATCACGTCACAGTTCTGTTAAATGTTTGAAACGGTAGTCATGCCGGTGTATAACTTCCAACGTTCGAATAATTTGAGTAACCAAAACTCAACGTTTTAAGTTTCAGTGAGTAATCAAAAATATTGATATAATTTGAGTGACAGTTGGAGCAATTAACTCGCTAAAAAACATGTTACATAACGTTAAAAATTATTATTTTTTGTCTTATTTAACTTTTTCAATGGAATCGCACATGTTATCAATGAAGGGAACTTGCGTTCTATTCTTTCACATGATAGTAGCATATTGGATTTTCTTGACCATAAACGATTGAAGAATTTTAAAATTCAAACTCAGTTGTGAGTTAAGAAAATAACATTAATTACACTGTGGTTGAAAAGATATTCACTTGTCCTCGAATAAACTTGGTATTCAGAAGGATATGTGCAAATTTGATATTATCGTTAGACATGAAAAATGACTCGTAATAACGATGAGATAGACTTTGACCAGGCTTGCAAGGATGATGGCGATTAGCGATTGACTGCTTCCTTGGAGAGATTTGAAATATTTTTCTTGGAGGTTTATTTCTCAATAGATAATACCATCTCGTTTATTATGAGAGAGAGAGAGGCACGCAATGGAACTCCTCTTTCGAAAATGAAGACCAAAATAACTCGAGGGTACGATCATTACTCTACCCTAAAATAAAAATCCCTATCGGACACACACTCTTCTTTTCCTAGAGGTGTGTTCGGTAGAGATTAAAATCGGATTAAAATTGAAAAACTAACCGTTATTGTTGACTTTTATTAGATGAGCGGGACCCAATAACGATCATATTTTCAATTTTAATTGAATTTTAATCAGAAACAAACAGGCTACTAATGTGAACATTAAATTATCAAAGTCTTTCTGACTCAACTTGGTCTGATCACACGTAAGATATGTTATATTCGTCGTAAAAATTGAAACATGATCAAATTAACAAACAATTACAGTCGTCATCAATCTATGATTCAACCATTATACGCGAATGATCTATTTTTAGGCAAAAAAAGATATAAATACACTAATATTTCGAGTAAACTGTAGACCAATAAAACTGGCTCCCGATTTTGGCGCAAGCAAATAAATATAAAAGGATTTGGCGCAAGATTTTATCCTTTTCACACGCATATTCTTTTCTCAGAAAGAACCAAGATACCTCGACTGAATCAAGCATTTTAACCTAAAGAAGTAATGCAATAATTTCATTCTGATCCTCATTTTACTGTAATAGTACAAAGTTGATCCTTAGTGTTCAAAAGAGATCAAAGTAATCATAAAACTTTAATTATTATTGCACAACTAGTGATGACAACTGTCCAAGTCTCAATTAAGACCCTGTTTGGTTTAGTTAAAAATATATTTTTAGCAATTATTTTGGAAGAATATATTTTGTAATAGTATTTTTTTAAGAATGTGTATGTTAATAAATAGAGAAAACTTTTGAATTTACGTAAAAAATTATTTTATTGAGAAAATGTGTGGTTGAAAATGAATTTAAAAAAATGATTTTTAAAGAATTTGGCTCGGTATGTACTTTGTAGATTTTGGAAAACTAAATAAAAGTTATGAGTCCTATAAAATGTAATATTGAAAATGAGTTTAAGAAGAAATGAACTTAAAAAGGGGCTAAATGAAGGCTAAATCTTCACTAAGCTCAAAGGCATGCTTGTAAGTGATTTTAAAATGTGTGAATAATATGTAATACTTGTGGATCATACAAAATATATAGATAAATTATATTTTTGATGAGCTTAAACTGCTTTTATTTGGTTTAGATAAAAATCAGATTTTTAGTAAATTTTAATAAAAGTTGATGAAATGTATATTCGAAAATGTGGATATCACAAGAAATGTATTGTTAAAATTTTAAATTTTTATTTGGACTTAAATTTTAATTCACTTTTCTAGGTGAACAAAACACATACAACTATAATTTGAGCCTTATCAAACATGTACTGAATTTTATGAAATTCGATGGTGTTTATCGACTTATACTTGTGCTTTTATAAGGCAAAATATATTTTTATGAGAGACATAATAATTTAATGTAGTGTTTTGCTCCAAGTACTGGAGCATAACCTACAGGGGTTTGCCAGGTTACTCACACTGGCGGGCCCCACATGTTTAAAAAAAAAAAAGAAAAAAATGCGTCCCCTCCTCCCTCTATTAGTGGCCTGGCATTGAACCCACCCCCTCCTCATGTACGTGTATGATTGCTCTTTAATGTATAAATAAATTGGATAAAGTTACTTTTACACCCAAATGAGTACACCTTTGTTGACACCTCCTATGTATCAACAATTTAGCCATCATTTGAAAAATATATTATTAAAATCAATGTATCGAAATCTGTCAACTCACATAAGCGTACATATAACATGACACAAACATATTACATCTTTTTAAAGATTGGTTATCAACTTTATAGTAGAACAACAGGCTGAGGACCAATAACGTTAGAGACCAACTTGAGAAGAGACGTGGTATTATAAAGATTATGTAAGAATTTAATGAAGATTTCAGTTCCATCATTATGGACCTATTGTGCTATAACAACAAATAATTAGAGATAAACTCACCATCTTTTAAAGATTGGAAACCAACTTTCTACTAGAACAATAAGTTCAGGACAAATAGAGTAATTTTCCCAAAACTTTTAACCCTCTCCCCACTCACCCCATCCACTCCCAGCACGTTCTTTAAGTTAACCCATTCAACTCCCAATTACAGTCCACCCTTCAAACTTCTGTGTTGCTCTTCCACCTCCATGTGCTACCTCTTCCGCCTCCGTCTCCACCCTTCACCACCGCGTTAAAATCACTCGTTTTCATCATTGCATTAATATCGCCACCTCATGGCTATTACAAAACAACCCTCCGGCGATATCAGAACGCGTGTGAACAGTTGCCTTAATAAACTCTCGGACAGAGACACTCTTTCAATGGCTACCAATGAATTGGAGTCCATAGCTAGAACTCTTTCGACTGACTCATTTGGCCCTTTCTTGAATTGCCTTTCCGCCACCGACTCGTCGGAGAAGTCTCCGGTCCGGCGCCAATGCGTCCGCCTACTGGGAATCCTATCCGCCTCCCACGGTGACGCTTTGTCGCCTCATCTATCGAGGATGCTCTCCTCCGTCCTCCGACGCCTCCGCGACCCCGACTCCGCCGTCCGCTCCGCCTGTGTCGACGCGATAACCTCCATCACCACACACGTCACAAAGCCGCCTTTCTCCGCCATTCTCAAGCCCCTCGTAGACGCCCTTTTCCACGAGCAAGACCAGAACTCGCAGATCGGTGCTTCGCTCTGCCTAGCTGCCGCCATGGAGGCGGCGCAGGAACACGACAGGGCGGAGCTGAAAACGCTCTTGCAGAGGCTGCTGAAATTAGTGAAAAGTGATTGTTTTAAGGCTAAATCTTCTTTATTAGTGCTCATTGGCAGCATTGTGAGCGTTGGTGCTGCTAAAAGCAGGAATTTATTGAAATGTTTGGTTTCCACCGCCGTTGAATTCTTGAGCAGTGAAGATTGGGCCACCAGAAAAGCGGCGGCAGAGGTTTTAGAGAGGTTGGTTACGGCGGAGAGAGATTTATTACCGGAGTTCAAGGCTTCTTGTGTATTTACATTGAATAGCAAAAGATTTGACAAGGTAAAATAATTTATATATGAAATCAAAAATTACTTTGAAAATTCGGGAAGACCAAACATTCTCGAAGATAAGCCATCAAAGAGTAGAGAAACCTTGATTATCACTCTTGATTCTTGTTCTTTGATGTAACAGGTGAGAGCTGTGAGGGAGACAATGAATCGGGCATTAGAGATTTGGAGAGATGTTCCAGCAGTATACGAAGAAGAATCAACACCAAAAGGTGATGTAACATTTCTATCTTTTTTCCTCTTCTTTTTCCAATTTAGTTTTAGGGTGCGTCTGATTGCAATGGTAAAAAATGGGTGGAAAAAAAATGTTTTAGGAAAAGATTTGTCTAGAAAATATTTTGCA